GGCACATCCTGTACTGAATATATGTACTGGCAAGTAGTGCTGGGGTGTCTTGGAAGGTCTATTGATGCTGGTAGGATCTATTTTTGTGTGGTAGTCTATTGTTGCTGGTGTGGAGGATCTATTGTTGCTAAGGGGTCAATTGTTGCTGGGGGTCAATTGTGGCAGGAAAGGATCTACTGTTGAGGGAGGAGTCTATTGTTGATGGCTTATAGAAAGTCTATATTGTTTTAGAAAGTCTCTGTTGTTGCTGCTGAGAGTCTTTTTTTGCTGGGGTGGTATTTTGTTTCCGGGGTCCATTGTTGTCCATTGGGGGGTCTATTGCTGCTGGCTACGGAAGATCTATTTACTGCTTTTCTTGTTATCAATAACAAATCCCATATAAGTTACTTAGCACCACAAAATGATATTTGTCTCTGTAGTCTCTAAAAGGAGTGGTACTGGGAAGCTGGTAGAGGGTGGAACCAAGAGAAAGTGCTCAGAGTTGGACAGAGGGGAGGAGAAAAGAAGTGACTCAAAAAGGGGGAGTTCCTTCACCTACTCTCTGAGAAAAAAAAGCTATGATTATATTTATATTTTTGGTAACAGTGTTGTCTTAAATTTGTTTATAACAAATAGCTTTTAAGCTTTTATTGTATTACCTATTTGATATCTGCCTAGCTGACTCTCCATTTACATTTATATACAAGGGTGCAAGTAGACATAATTTTAATGTTTTTTGGCTATAATACAAGATTGGTGTTGAGGGCCTGTTTACACCAGGTGCGATAGGTCTGTGCTAAGGCAAAATGCCTTGTTCCCTATCATGCCAGTTCACACTACTGTGTTGTGGTGGGTGTGCACTGAAAAAAGTACTGCACGTAGTTCTATTTTTCAGCACAGCTTGGTATGATGCAAATTGCTACCTCACATTGTGCTGCATCCAATGAAACTTAAAAAAATTCACTTTTTGACATTTCAATAAAGTTCAGTTTTAAAGTAAAAAGTGTGCCATGATTGACGCATTAGCACCGTTGCATTTCTTTTGTGCACCACTGTCATTCTATTGCATACCAGCAGACACATTCTAGCAAAGTCACTGGTGTGAATGGGCCATTAGACTGGATAATATCTCCTAACATTTCTTCTTCAAAAGCTAACAGAAGATCTTATTCTACTCCAGTTTAGTTAAACAAATGCTAATCTGTCAAAAAATCTTGCCGTTCCCCACTTTAGTTAAATAAATGTTTTAATTGCCTTCTGTGTTCCTATTGGGAAGATTACCCATACTGCTAAAATTGAAATTTATCCCATGGGGTCACAGTTGGCTATAGAAACGTGATGGAGGTTTAAACCCTTCTCTATTCTTTCACAATAATTGGACTTTAAGAGCCTGCTGACACTCTGGTTTTCATATTAGCAGCTGTTACCAGTATATTTACAGAGGAGCAAACAGTACTTATTAATTTTCAGTATTTTTATCATTATTCTTAATTGTTGCTGTGCAGGGTCAGATTGCTAAACTAACCCACATAAATCTAATTCTCTCTCTTTTATATATTCTTTTGAATTTATTTAGAAAAACATTTGTCCTCTGGAATGGCTGTTTGATAGTACTAAGCTTAGAGACAGATGCACAGCACATGCTTGGTTTTTGTTTTCTTACTTTTTTTTCCCTTTTGCTAAGTGAATGCATAAAGAATTGGATTGCTAAGAAACCCAAATACGATAGCTAATGCTCAACTGAATTTTGGAGAACACTGCAAGCCCCCTTTACTATAATAGGGAGGGCATCATGCAATGCATATCATAAAAAATTCCCTTTTTTTTTTTGTTTTTTTTAGAAAACAAATATTTTTAACCTTTTTCATCCTTTGACTGACGGTGACGGTGTGTTGGGTTGTAGTCTCCATCAGATGTCTGTGTGACAGGGTGACAGCAACACCTTGCTACCCGTTGTGGTCTACTGCTACTGTAGCCCAGTGGTCGGCAAGCCGCGGCTCGCGAGCCACATGCGGCTCTTTACCCACTCTAATGCGGCTCTTCTGTGTGCCGGGCGCCTGCTCCCCTCCCTCCTCTCGGTCGGCCCCGCTCCCCTGCCTCCTCTCGGTTGGCAGCCCCAAAAGTCCGCGCGGGACCTTTTAATCCGGCCCGCGGATGTGGCTGTCAGGATGTGTGTAGGCGGGGCAGCGTGCCGAACGTGAGGGGAGGGGAGCTAGGCTCCTCTCACAGTCCGCCCTGAAGACCCGAACGGCGCGGGAAGACAGCGAGAGGAACGCAAAAGGTAAGTGAATTGACACGGGGGACTTGGCTTACTAGAAGGGGGGGGGGGAATAGTACTGTGGGGGATGAAATACTATATGAGGGATGAATTACTATATGGGGGGTGAATTACTATATGGGGGGTGAATTACTATATGAGGGATGAAATACTATATGGGGGATGAATTACTATATGGGGGATGAATTACTATATGGGGGGTGAATTACTATATGGGGGGTGAATTACTATATGAGGGATGAAATACTATATGAGGGATGAAATACTATATGGGGGATGAATTACTATATGGGGGATGAATTACTATGGGGGATGAATTACTATATGGGGGATGAATTACTATATGAGGGATGAATTACTATGGGGGATGAATTACTATGGAGGATGAATTACTATATGGGGGATGAATTACTATATGGGGGATGAATTACTATATGGGGGGTGAATTACTATATGAGGGATGAATTACTATATGGGGGATGAATTACTATATGAGGGATGAAATACTATATGAGGGATGAAATACTATATGGGGGGATGAAATACTATATGAGGGATGAAATACTATATGGGGGGATGAAATACTATATGAGGGATGAAATACTATATGAGGGATGAATTACTATATGGGGGGATGAAATACTATATGAGGGATGAAATACTATATGAGGGATGAATTACTATATGGGGGGATGAAATACTATATGAGGGATGAAATACTATATGGGGGGATGAAATACTATATGAGGGATGAATTACTATATGGGGGGATGAAATACTATATGAGGGATGAAATACTATATGAGGGATGAAATACTATATGGGGGGATGAAATACTATATGAGGGATGAAATACTATATGGGGGGATGAAATACTATATGGGGGGATGAAATACTATATGAGGGATGAAATACTATATGAGGGATGAATTACTATATGAGGGATGAAATACTATATGGGGGGATGAAATACTATATGAGGGATGAAATACTATATGAGGGATGAATTACTATATGGGGGATGAAATACTATACGGGGGATGAATTACTATACGGGGGATGAATTACTATACGGGGGATGAATTACTATATGGGGGATGAATTACACTATGGGGGATGAATTACACTATGGGGGATGAATTACTATATGGGGGATGAATTACTATATGGGAGATGTATTTTCAGTTTTAAAAATGTGGCTCTCAAAATAAATTTCAATCATGGTTTTGGCGAGATTTGGCTCAGTTGAAAAAAAAGGTTGCCCACCACTGCTGTAGCCCATCTACAGTACTTCAAGGTTCGATGTGTCATGTATTCAGAGATGGTATTTTGCATACCTTGGTTGTAACGAGTGGTTATTTGAGTTACTGTTGCCTTTCTATGATCTCAAACCAGTCTGCCCATTCTCCTCTGACCTCTGACATCAACAATGCATTTTCATTCACACAACTGCTGCTCACTGGATATTCTTTTTACGGACCATTCTCTGTAAACTCCAGAGATGCGTTAAAATCCCAGTAGATCAGCAGTTTTTTTTAAATGCTCAGACCAGGCCATCAGGCAATAACAACCATGCCACATTCAAAGTCACTTAAATGCCCAGTCTTCCCCATTCTGATGCCTGGTTTGAACTTCAGCAAGTCGTCTTCACTACATCTTGGCTGATTAGCAATTTGTGTTACCAAGCAATTGAACAGGTGTACATAATAAAGTGGCCGGAGAGTGTATATAAATATATGCATTATAGCAATCTACTTTACAAAACAGATTTGAGGGGCAGAATTTATTTTTTTTCACCAGTAATGGAATTTTCCAGCATGAAAATACATTAATTCATAAGAAAATCAGGTTATCTATTAGGGCTTTCATTTGAAGGAACACAGCCTGCATACGTGGGCTTTTGTTTTTCGTCCTGTCATTCCTCATGTGTATGGTTATTTTCTGTCAAATCCTCCTCCCCCCAGTAACCTTGTATTCTTAGAACACCTCATCATAAACCTGAGATTTTGCAGGCCAGGGCTTCTCAACTCCACCCAACTGAACTTCTCCACAGCACTGTAATTATGTACATCTTGGGACAGCTCTATTCTAATTATGCATGCACCTTGCTATTTAATATAACATGTCAAATATTATGCTACATTACATCTGGAATTTTAAGGATCTAATTTAGAGGGGGCTGAATTTAATTTTGTTCTGCCTAACCTTTTCAGTAAAATGTTTCTATACTGATTTCCTGAATTAAAGATGCACTCTAGTTAAATGAAATCTCCTAATTTAGGATAAAGGCAACACTTTAATATGCCATAAATTGCAGTGAGTTAATGTTGTTGACTTCTTATTAAAGAAAGAAGTCAAATAGCGCTTTCCTGATGGGGTGTCATGCATATGATGGCTGGTGGTCCTTAGTCCCTTTAATGTTCAGCTACTGGTTCCTTTGCCTTTAAGGTCTGTGAGATGCCTCCATCCCTTTAGTTCCTACTTTCATATTTTTAGACTTGAACTTTATAGCATCCATGTAAGTGCAATATAAAAGGTTTACAAAAGGTTTTAAGAATACTACTCTATAAGAGGCTTCCCCATTCTCTCTCAATGCTTGGGATGCTGAGCATTACCAAGTACTATATTTTTCGCTCCATAATACGCCCCTGACCATAAGACACACCTACATTTTAGACAAGGAAAACAAGAAAAAAAATTCTGAACCAATGGACTGCAGACATAGTACAGGAAATGACCAGAGACTGCAAACATAGTACAGGAGATGACCAGAGACTGCGGACATAGTACAGGAGATGACCAGAGACTGCGGACACAGTACAGGAGATGACCAGAGACTGTGGACACAGTACAGGAGATAACCAGAGACTGCGGACATATTACAGGAGATGACCAGAGACTGCGGACATACTACAGGAGAAGACCAGAGACTGCGGACACAGTACAGGAGATGACCAGAGACTGTGGACATAGTACAAGAGATGGCCAGAGACTGCGGACATAGTACAAGAGATGACCAGAAACTGCGGACATAGTACAGGAGATGACCAGAGACTGCGGACATAGTACAGGAGATGACCAGAGAGTGCAGACCTTTGGGGAGGGGGGGGGTACCCGAATTTGACAGGTACCCACTCCCACTTCTGCTGAGTTGTCCTCCCCCCTCCCTCCCGGTAGTCTTGTGGGACATGTGACAGGTTCCATAAGGGACCATTCAGGAAGCGCAGCGCTACTCGCGCATGCGCAGTGGGCACCCGGCTGTGAAGCCACAAGCTGTCACAGCCAGGTACCCACACTAATGATGCTGGCAGCAGGGAGAGAAGACGGCCGATGAAAGCAGGAGACCACTAGACGAGGAACAGGTAGGACGGAGGAGCGGGTTGCAGGTTCTTCTGCACAGTAGAGCCAAGCGGTCGGCACGGTATTCTAGCACGGTGGTGGAGGCAGGAATACCGGTCCGGCTGCTTCATATTCGCTTCATAGGAACGCACAGACATTTTCCCCCATTTTTTGGGGGGGGGAAAGTGCATCTTATGGAGCTAAAATACAGTACTTTTATAGAGATGAAGGCATCTTACAGACCTTAAAGTCAAAGGACCCAGTGGCTGAAAGTTAAAGGAACTAAGGACCTCCAACCATCATAGACATGACACATCTGCAGAAAAACGTTGTTTGGCTTCTTTCTTTCCTAAGAAGTCAACAACATCTGGTCAGTGCAGTGTGTATACTTAGAGGCACGGAGGAGAGAGTATACCTTGATTGGTCACAATGCATGTTTGCTATTTGGATTGAATTTTTTGCACAGAGCACTTTATTTAAGTGGATTAAACTGTGGATTTATTGATATTTTACAACTCACTTATGGTATATGAAAGTGCTGCCTTTATCCTAAATTAGGAGATTTCATATACATTGGTGGACAGGATATGTCTGACTGGTGGCAGCTTCCTTTTTATTCTATTTTTCTTATTATGATTTAATCTAAAATGATTTACTTGGCACACAGTTAGGTTGAGTGCAGGTATTAAATATATATACACTCCAGACAAACCAGAAAATTGTAGCATGGAAATACAGTGTCTCTTGGATCACAATGGTTTTCATTTTATTATTTTTTTTCACTGATCAGCAGTAATAGACTCAGCAAAATGAAAACAGATTTCTGTGATTTACAATCCAAAAATGACAAAATAACTAAAGTTTACATCACACTGAGATGCAAACTGAGCTCCTTGCACAGATCAAAAGGGCTCCAAGGGCTGGGACAGTGATAATAATGGGGGATTTTAACTACCCGGAAATTGACTGGAGTAATGGTACTGCAGGAACAGTTAAAGGGCAAAAATTGTTAAACCTACTTCAGGACAATTTTATGGTACAGTTCATAGAAGCCCCTACTAGGAATGATGCTCTGCTGGACCTGGTAATCTCAAACCATGCAGAGCTTATTACAAATGTCCATATAAAAGAACATCTGGGTAACAGTGACCATAACATGATTTCATTTATTGTTAGCTGTAAACAGCAAGCACATACCGGAAAAATAAATACATTCAATTTCAAGAGAGCTAATATTCCAAGGCTGAGAGCTGCTCTCCAAGACTTAGGCTGGGAGGGAATATTGGTATCAATGAACACAACACAGAAATGGGAGTTCTTCAAAAAGACTGTATGTGAACATACTGCAAAATAAATTCCCATGGGCAACAAGTTTAAAAGGCTAAAAATCAAACCTATGTGGCTTACGGGCAAAGTTACAAAAAGCTATAGATGATAAGAAAAGAGCTTTTATCAAATATAAAAATGAAGGAACACTATCATCGTTTAAACATTACAAAGAATATAACAGAATATGCTAAAAGGAAATAAAGGCTGCAAAAATTGAAAATGAACGACAGATTGCAAAAGATAGCAGGACCAACCCCAAAAAATTCTTCAAATATATTAATAGTAAAAAGGTGAGGCCCAAGCATGTAGGCCCTTTACAAAATAATCTAGAGTGGGTGACTGGGATGAGAAGGCAAATTTATTAAATGCCTTCTTCAGCTCTGTGTATACAAAGGAGCATGGGGAGTGCTTGTTCATAATGGGCATGGTATTGACACAGCTCCAGATGATCCACATTGGCTCACAATTGAGATTATCCAGAAATATTTAGAGAGTATAAAGGTGAATAAAGCACCTGGACCAGATGGCATACAGCCACATGTCCTTAAAGCATTGAGATCTGTCATTTCAAAGCCATTGTTTCTAATTTTTAGGGACTCTTTAATGACATGGCATAGTACCACTGGATTGGCGTAAGGCCAATGTGGTTCCAATATTTAACAAGGGGTCAAAATCTTCACCAAGTAATTATAGACCTGTTAATTTAACTTCTATAGTTGGGAAGATACTGGAGAGTTTAGTAAAAGACCACATAGATGAGTTCTTGCTGGAACAAAAATATTTTAAGCAACAGACAGCATGGATTCATGAAAGACAGAAGTTGTCAAACAAATCTGATTTCTTTTTACGAAGGGGTGAGCAAAACCTTGGACAAAGGGGTGGTGGTGGACGTGGTATACTTGGATTTTGCAAAATCATATGACACAGTTCCCCACACACGGCTAATGTGTAAGGTAAAGTCTACAGGCTTGGAGAAATCCGTATGTAAATGGATAGAAAACTGGCTAAAAGATTGTATTCAAAGAGTAGTGGTTAATGATTCATACTCTGAATGGTCTAGGGTTGTCAGTGGTGTACCCCAAGATTCAGTGTTGGGACCCTTACTTTTTAATATATTTTATAAACGATATAGGGTCCTGGATTACAAATACCATTTCAGTCTTTGCAGATGACACCAAGCTGTGCAGTGGAATAACTTCCTTACAGGATGTCTCCAACTTACAAGCCGACCTCAATGCACTGTTTAATTGGGCAACTATGTGGCAAATGAGGTTTAATGTTGATAAATGTAAGATTATGCACTTGGGGGCTAAGAATATACATGCATCATACATACTAGGGGTACAACTGGGGGAATCAATGATGGAGAAGGATCTGGGAGTTCTGGTAGATCACAAGCTTAATAATGGCATGCAATACCACGCTGCAGTTTCTAAAGTGAGCAAAATCCTCTCTTGTATTAAAAGAGGTATAGACTCCAGAGAGAGAGGTATAATTTTACCACTGTACAAATCATTAGTAAGACCTCATCTGGAATATGCAGTTCAGTTTTGGACACCAATTCACAAATAGAACATTGGGTATAAATACATCAGTGGTTCATATAGTGAACTCGGTGTAGAGCTATTCATCTGAGGTCATCACAGAGGACAAGGGGGCACTCTTTACGTCTGGAAGAAAAGAAATGTAATCTCCAAACACGGAAAAGTTTCTTCACAGTGAGAGCTGTGAAAATGTGGAATAGACTCCCTCAAGAGTTGGTTCTGGCCAGCTCAGCGGATTGCTTCAAAAAAGGCCTGGATTCTTTCTTGGATAAACAAAAAAATGACTGGATACTACAGTTTCTCAGTAAGTGACAGTCTGAAAGCAAACAGCTTTTGTTGCTCTCTCTCTTTAGAAAAGTAATAATCATTTGTAAATCCTCGTGTTATCTGTAATCTCTATACAAATTTGTATAAAGAAGTAAAAAAAAGATTAACCAATCAGATTGAAATGTCATAATGTAAGTAAAAAAAAAATAGAAAATTAGAGGAAAAGTGTCCCCAAGTCATTATAGTTTCCCTTAACCCTAATTGTTGTCCTTACTCCCCCCCAACCTTGGACCTTAAAACTAACTCTAATATAACCTTTAATGAAACCACTAACACTAATTTAACCCCCAAAAGATCATACTTTGCTTATATGGCACCTGTGGTACAAAACTAATTTTGAGTTTGATATTGTGCAGGCCAAATTGATTGGCAAAACACAGTAGTTTGACCTAGGGATACCAAGATAGTCCTGCTATAGTGTGTCAGCAAAGCATCATGAGAATATATCTTAGAATGTTGACACAACAGCATGCTCTTTGTCTCCTTAGTACACTAGCAATATAATAAATTATATTTTTTGATAGAATAGGAAGGGGTTAGACCTTTGACAGCTTTTCATTTTTTTTTCAAAAGTCAAAGTGTTGGAGTAGGACTTTTATCAATTCCCCACCCTGACACTTTTTGGTATTAGACATATGCTAGTCTATTGATTCAAGTTATCCTTTACAGGTTCTGATGTGACACATAAGTACATTGGAACTATTGCATGTATTTCCACAATTTCAGAATGTACTTTTATTGCAATCATTATAACCTATCTTGATTTAATGGTCCTAGAACACCTAGTACTTCCTGGCTTACATTTTATTGCAGCTCTTTCTGTAATACAGTGGACAATAACACTGCCTAAAGTGATCAGTACATTGGAACTATTGCATGTATTTATACAATTTCAGAATTTACTGTTTTTGCAATCATTCTAACCTATCTTGCTCTAATTGTCCTAGAACACCTAATACTTCCTGGCTTACACTTTATTGCAGCTCTTTCTGTAGTACAGTGGACAATAACACTGCCTGAAGTGATCAGTGACATTGACATTTATCAAGAAAATGTCCATTGATAAAAAATGAACGTTTACATCCCAAGAACACCTCAACTTTGCATCACTATAGTGAAGATATCACAGTTAATACATTTTTTGCCAGCAATTATAGATAATTATAAATTATACATTGAAAGTGGACTATCCATAGAAATACAGGGTGTCTTTTGTAGTTGGACCCTTGTTCACCCATGCAAAAATGCCACCTCCAAAAATGAAAAACATAAATTAACAGAAGGGTTCTATTTAGAAATGATTACCTTACACCTTGGCTTGCCTGTGATGCCTAGGCAAAGGAGATATCATGGGCCTTTCAAAGAGATCTTCAACATTCATTATGTTACTTCACCTAGGTGCTATAGGGTGGAAGCTGGAGTGTAAGACAAGTGTATTTCTTGACTCGTCCCCTATTCTGTATATAGAAAGTGGTATTTTTACATGGGGTGGGGGTAATTTAACTCTTAAGCTCCCCTTGCATTTTGATGCA